TAGTAGTAACAAGGACGCTAGTAGTAACAGGTGCCACGCTAGTAGTACCAGGTGCCACGCTAGTAGTAACAGGTGCCTTACTACTAGTAACAGTAAGAAGATTGCAGGGTTGTTCATTCCTTTGGATTTGTTAAACATGTATTTTGATAATCTTCCTTCAATCGATAGAGAGGATTTAGACTAAAGACTTTGTATGCCCTTGTTCCTTTGCTATGTTCTTTTTGACTGTTCCCACCTCAACATCTCGCCTTTTGAGTGGTACAGCAAGTGGTGAACAAGCAGCCTTGTCATCCCTAGTTCCTTTCATGTGTTGATTTGCACGGCTCGTGTGCTAAAAGCAATGCTGATTGGTCGCATAAAATACTAGCAGTAGCGTATTTATTCCTCAGGATTTGTTGAATGATATGTTCTCAACATTTTCCTCAATTTGATAGAGAGGATTTAGTCTAAGACTTTGTATGATGTTTTGCCATGCCCTTGTTCCTTTGCTATGCCCTTTTGACAGGTGTAGGAAGAACTTTTTGACGAAAAGCCAAAAAGTACCACCTCAACAGACGTTGACAGTTGAAAGTTGCATCTGTTGAACAAGCAACCTTGTTTTTACATCCCTATGGTTGTTTTGTTTCTTCCTCTGCAAAGTTCCTGTGCGAAAACCGGTGTTGATTGGTCGTGTGAATAAAAGTAGGATTGTGCTCCGTCAGTTCTCCCACTCAAGCATCAAAGGCTTGTAATTTGCAAAAGTCAATGCAGCAGTTTATGCCTTTGTTCCTTTGACTAGTGGTAGGTTAAGGACAGAAGTGGTTTGGTCAGCTGAAACTTCATGAAGAAATTTCCCTCAGCCATTTTCACATCCCAAGGTCAAAATTCTTGCGTAACGCATTGCATTCCTTGTCATGCGCATTTTTCATTTGCACTTGCTTATCGAAAGGCGCAGCCATTGGCTGTCGCCCACCCCCTGTTGCAATTGCAGGACGGTGATACATTCGAGCAGATTGGCAACGCTTTCCCAATTGACCCAGTGCACTCCAATATTGCCTACTTGAAGAAAGTCCAGAGCTCAGAGCTTGTTGTTGTTCAATCAAACTTGATGCTTTGACTAAACCGATTTAGTGTTTGGTTTCCGGCGATTGTCGTTTTGCCGTGAGGCAATCAAGAAGGAGGAACTATCCATTGCGCCTTCCAAAATTGATATTTTTAGCCAACAGGACAAGCCGCTGTTTATGCCACCAACTCGTTTGCTAGTTGTATTTCAATTTATCAGTTTTTGTTCACTCGGCTCAGCGCTTTGCGTTGCAATGTCTTTGCTACCTTTTCACTTTTCACTCTTTTGTCAATCGCTGGTCAGGTGAGTTTGTCCAATTGTTTTCTTTCACAACACCTCACCCAACCCCTTGCACACCACCGTCTCAACTTGCCTTTGCAGCATTGTGGTTTGCCAGTTTGCTCATCGCGGATTTGCAGGATGGAAGTTGGATTAGAGAAGAAAAGATGTCGGCAAGCCTTCGCGACACGGATGAACCCATCACTTGGTGTTTTGTTTTGAGCAGCTTTTAAACATGCAGGGCTTCAAACTGATGTCAATGTTACGACCTTATGATGTATTTTTGTTTTGTTTGCCGCCTCTGAGTTTGGGTCGAGAAACAACTGTTTTGACCACACTTCAAGTTTGTGTTTTTCCCTCCAGTTTTAAGGACAGATTGCTATGGCTTCACATTGCCATCAGCGTGAGTGCAGCGTTACGCCTAGCGTTCCACTTGTTTTGCCCTTCTGTGGCTGAGGTGAAACCAATTGAGAGTAAGGGTTCCCAATAGTTTCACCGAATTCCATCTTTGGAGTAAATGTAGAGTGGATGTCGCTGTGGCATGACCGTGCATCACTCACAAGATATGAGACTTGACACTGCGTTGACACTCTTGTCCAGCAGGTTGTGCACACAGCGGGTGAAGAAACAGTGAACCAAGAAGCTGTTCAAGATACGTTTCACTCGGGCAATGTATACGCCCAAGCACAGCCACGAATCCAACCATGCATCGTGAGAAAAGGTAAGTGCTTGATTTTGAACCGGTTTTCCTGAGAGAAACTTGAAAAGAAAACTGGAGGAATACATATATATATATATATTGAAAATTCGTGGAAAAGAAGTGGATAAAGTTTGGTGTGCCTTTGACAGGGTTCAGCAAGAAGGGGGAAAATATGACAAATTTCGCGAATGAAATTAAATATTACTGTTTTAGGGTGTTCAGACGCCTGGGTGCCACTAGGGTTTCTTTTAAAAAAGGTGAGGTGTTTGGTGGAAATGAATGAAATTTATTTTTACCCATTGAATTTAAAAAAATCAAAAAGAACGGGAATCAAGCAAGATGAATAATGCTTATGAAATGAAGGTAATGAAATCTTAATGAAGTATTAAATTTAGGGTCGCAAACGCTATGGCGGAATATAAGGGGGGAATGTGGACCAATTTAAGCTGATTAACATCAAATTACATTGTACATTTTACATGAAACTAGAACCTAGGTATACGGTATCTAGGTGTATAAATTGGGTTTTGTCTCGGCATAGTAATAGTGACTACAAATTATACCTTAAAAAAAAGCACAGCAATTTAGCTATAATTGGCATTAGGATGATTTTCATTTGCCCTTTCTAACGCTGGCTACATTAATCCCTTTTAGTTTAGGGTTTATAGAAGCTATATAGGATTTAGGGAAAAAAAAAAAAAAAAACTTAATAAATTTGTGTTTTAGATTTTTTGCTTCTAGGGTTTAACCTTATATAATTTCTATTTACAGGTTCTTGAGGGTTTAGGGTTCGATACGAAGTGGCATCTTAGTAAATCCCCGGTCATAACTAAGAGCAAGTAAAATAGAGGACTAAGCAATTTTTTTAAATACCTATTACGCCCTATACTCTATTCTTTTAATTTTTAGTTAAAAATTTTTAGTCGCGCCCTACACTCCATCCTTTTATTTGTTTGTTCGCGGTTTTTAGGCAAATCTTGAAATTTTAAGGTTTTAAAAAATTTTGCCTCTCTACAAGCTCAAGGCTTTAAGGTTTCTGGCCTCTGCAAATTGCAAGTTTTAAGGTTCTTGGTCTTTTCCGGGCCTCTGGGAATTCAAATGCAAATTGCAAGTTTCAAGGCTCCTGCTTTTTTCGGGGCCTTTGGAAATTTAAGGTTTTTGGTTTTGCCTAGGCCTCTTTAATGAAATGGACAGCCAAATGGAGCGTGAATATTGTAAAGAGTTCGTATCTATTTCCCGTAATTATCTTCCATAATGTCATTTCGTGTCGTAGAAGTGGCGCAAGCCCTAAAAGTTTAGGGTTTAGGGTCCGACACGAAGTGGCGCTATAATCAACCCCTACCCCTTTTTTTTCCCCGTAGAGGTGCTCGCCCTAAGCCCGCCTTTTTTATGGTAGTCTTTTTTAATCATGAAACATATGTCTCTGGTTTTCGATGTTCAATTAAAAATAAATTAAAATTACATAAATTCAGATATTTTTCTGGTA